GTACACTAACAAAGGGAGGATTTCACACTTACTGATAGTATTAAGTGATTACTTGTTAGTTGTGATTATGCAGAAACTAACAATGAAACTGTGGACTCAACTTGGGCTCTTGACCAAACAGACCTAATAGACATCTACAGAATACTCCACCCAGAAACCATAAAATATACATTTTTCTCTTTTGCACATGGAATATTCTCTAAAACCATCTGTGATGCTCAGTCATAAAATAAGCCTCAATAAATGTTTTAAAATCATAACTATATTATCTCTTAGAGGACCAGGAGGAGGGGGAGCTGGAGGCTGGAGTCTGCAACACCGCCGCTCGTCTTGCTCGGGATGGTGGTGGCAACAGAGATGGCACCGTGGCTGGAGCGTTAGGAGGGTTTTCAGACCATTGTGGAATAAAATTAGAAGTCCTTATCAAGAACTCTCAGAACCACAGAGGTACATGGAAACTAAACAATCTGCTCCTGAATGACTTTTGTGTGTAAATAATAGACTACAGAAATTTTAAAAAATTCCTGAAACAAATGAAAATAGAAACACAAATATACCAAAATGTCTGGGATACAGCAAAACAATGTTTGGAGAGTTTATAATACTAAATGCCTACATAAAAAAGACAGAAAGATCTCAAATTAACAAGCTAAAATAGCCAAACACACTAGAAAACAACAAACCAAACCCAAATCTAGAAGAAGAAAGGAAGTAACAAAGGTTAGAGAAGAAGTTAATGAAATTGGGACCAAAAAAACCGTATGCTGAATCAGCAAAATTAAAAAGTCTAAGGTTCTTTGCAAGGATACATAAATTGATAGATTGCTAGTTAGATTATGCAAGAAAAAAAGAAGATTCAAATAAGAATCAAAAAACGACAATGAGATATTAATAGCAAAGGATAACACTAACATAAAAATGATCCTCAGAGGACTGCTAAGTGAATATCTGCAGTGCATAAACTAGAAAACCTAGAGAAAATGGATAAATTCTGGAACACAAAACTTCCAAGACTGAATCACAAAAAGAAACCAAAAGTCCACTAGGCAGCCAAACAGGAAATGGGATTGAAGCTCCACAGAGTCCCCACTGGGGCACTACCTACTGAGCGAACGGGGCTGCCAGCTCGAGATCCCTGAATGATAGAGCTATGGGAAGCTTCCATCCTGAGCCTAGAAATACCACAGGCACTCAACCTGACCCAAGAGAGCAGCTACGCGGTGACTGTACACTGCAAAGCCAGAGGCAGAGCTGCGTAAGGTCTTGAACTGCCCACCCTTTGCACAAGTGTGCCCTGGATGTGGGACATGAAGTCAACAATTATTTTGGAGCTTTAAGGTTTAATGTCTGCCTCTACTGGCTCTGTGGATTTGCCTGAGACTCCGTTACCCCTTTCTTTGCCCAACTTCTCCATTTGGGAATGGGAATATTTACCCAACACCTGTACTGCATTGAATACTGGAAGTAAATAACTTGGTTTTGATCTATAGGCCTACAGGTGGAGAACTAACTTGAAGCTCAGATGATTTCCAGACTTCTGAGTTGATGCTGAAACAACTTGAGATTTTTGGGGACTATTGGGGGGAGGGTAATTATATTTTTGCAATAAGGGAAGAACATGATTTGGGGGGTCATGGGGTGAAATGTGACATTGTTTGGACGTGTTTACCTCCAAACTTCTTGTTGAATGTGATCTCAAATGTTAGTGGTGGGCCTAGTGTGAAGGTAAGTCGTGAATCATGGGGGTGGATCCTTCATAAGTTGCTTAGCTCCATCCCCTTGGTGATGAGCGAGTCCTTGCTCTGTTGTTTCACATGAAAGCCAAGGTTTCAAAACAACCTGCCATGTTCCCCTTTGGCTCTTGGACTCTCTCCTGATATATGATACAGTGGCCTTCCCTTTGCCTTCCTCCGTGATTGGATGCTTTCTGAGGTCTCATCCAAAGCTGAGCAGGTGCTGGTCCCATGCTTCTACTGCCTGCACAACTATAAACCAAATAATTTTTCTCTATAAATTAAAAAATATCTGAACAGATCGGTAGTTAATTATGAAATTGAATTTGTAATACAAATATTTATCAAGCAGAAGCCTAGGACTAGACGACCCACAGCTGAATTTACCAAACATACAAAAAAAAAAAAACAAATAGATGGTATCAATCTTACAGCAACTATTCTAAAACATTGAGGAGAAGGGATTCCTCTCTAACTCCTTCTACAAAACCAGTATCATCCTGACACTAAAATCTAGCAAGGAAACAACAGCAACAACAAAAACTACAGGCCAATATCTGATGAACATAGATGCAAATATCCTCAACGAAATGCTAGCAAATCAATCCATCAGCATATCAAAATATAATTCATCATGATTATACAGGGTTTTATTCCTGGGATGCAAGGACTACTTACCATATGCGAATCAATAAATGTGATTTACCAGATAAACAGAATTTAAAAATAAAATCATATGATCATCTCAATAGATGCAGAAAAAACATTCAATACAATTCAACATCCTTGCCAGGTGCGGTGGCTTACACCTGTAATCCCAGCACTTTGGAAGGCAGAGGTGGGAGAATCAACAGAGGTCAGGACCAGCCTGACCAACATGGAGAAACCCCATTTCCACTAAAAATGCAAAATTAGCAGGGCATCATGGTGTATGCCTGTAATCCCAGCTACTCAGGAGGCTGAGGCAAAAGAATGGCTTGAACCCGGGAGGTGGAGGCTGTAAGTGAGCGAGATCACACCACTGCACTCCAGCCTGGTCAACAGAGCAAGACTCCATCTAAAAAACAAAACAAAACAAAACAAAACAAAGCAAAACAAAATCTGAAATCATATCAACTATTTTTTCTGACCAAAGTGAAAGAGTATTAAAAATCAGTACAGGAGGATTTTTCCAACTGCCTTTGGCCTCTCTCCCTCTCTCTGTCACCACCTTTTCTTCCTCTATCTACCCCAAAATCCTTTTTTCCCCACCATTTTTCCCCATTGTCTTTTGCAAAGTGCTTCTAAGTACTCACCCGCTCACTACCGCTTTGACCCATCTACCTAAAAACTTCTCCTCACCGTCTTTCTCCCTCTCCCTGGCCACTTTTTTCCCTCCTGCTCTCATCACCCCCTTTCTTTGCTCCTCCACTTCCCAAAAACATTTCCCACATCTTTCCAAGCCTCTCCCCACTCCTGCTCTTCGCCACCCTCTTTCCCCCATCTACCCAAAAACTGTTTCCCCACTGTCTTTTTTCCCTTCCTCCTTGTCACCCTCTTTTCCCTTCTCCATCTACCCAAAACATTTCTCGCCGTCTTTTCACAAGTCTCCTCCCTACTCCTGCTCACCACCCTTTTCTTTTACCCATCTACCTCCCCACCCTTGCCCGCTGTCTTTCACAAAGCCTTCTGCTTCCCGCTCGCCTCTTCTTCTCTCTCCCTCTACCATCACCCTGCTTGCCACCCTTTCGCGCCTCCATCTACCCCAAACTATTTTCCCCATCGCCTTTTCCCAACCCTCTTCCCCACTCCCCTCTCTCTGGCCACCCTCTCTATTCCCTCTCCCATTTGCCACCCTTTCTTTTCCTTTCTATCTACCTAAACACTTTACCCACTATCTTTCTTTCTGCATTTTCTTTTTCTGCCCATTGTCTTCTTTGCAAACTTTTCTCCTTCCCCGTCCGCCACCCTCTTCTCTCTTCTCTTTATCCTTCTCCCGGTTGGCCATTCTCTTCCATCTACCTAAAAGCTTCTCTCCTCTTTCTTTTCACAGAACCTTCTCTTTCCTCCCTCTCTGCACCCTCTTTTCTCTTCCCACTTGTCAACCTTTTCCCCCCTCCATCTACTCAAAATATTTTTACCAACCGTCTTTTTTTCCCCTTCTTCTCCCAACTCATTTTTGCAAACTTTCTCTTCTCCTGCTCACCCCCTGTTCCCCTCATCGCCACCCTTTGTTTCCTTCCATCTACCTGAAAAAACTTTTTCCCACTCTTTCCGTGAAACCTCCTCCCACAACACCTTGTTTTTTCCTCCTCCATCTACTCCCCCACCTCCTTTTTTTTCCTTCCTACCATCTTTCCTCACCATCTTTAGCTAAATGCCTTCCTGCTTCCTCTACCCTCCATCTATCCGAAAACTATTCCTTCCTACCGCCCAGCTACACTGTAGCTGTCCCGGTGGCCACCAACCACAGCAGGCGAGCGCCACGGTGCCGACTACAGTCTCCAGCACGGGCAGGGATAGCCCGCCATTCTGGTCCTCGGCCGGCACAACATGAAGCAGCTCGGTGAGCAGACACAGCAGAGCCTGGAATGGTCTTTTTCGACTCTCTCCAGCAACTACTTATATACTGAGGTTATGCATATGAGGTTTCTGGACTACACATTCCAGGATTGGATAAGAGAAAGTCTCCGGAGGCCTCATTGGGATTGCACTTTATTATCATGTTCCTGATTGGATAGAGCAAGTCTTGTGGACAACCAATCAGAGTATGAAAATAAAGTCCAGCCCAGCGCGGTGGCTCAAGCCTGTAATCCTGAGCACTTTGGGAGGCCGCATGGCGATCTACGAAGTCAGGAGATCAAGACCATCCTGGCTAACATGGTGAAACCCCGTCTCTACTAAAAATACAAAAAGAGAAATTAACGGGCGTGGTGGCGGCGCCCGTAGTCCCAGCTTACTCCGGGAGGCTGAGGTGTGGGAGAATGGCGTGAACCTGGGAAGCGGAGCTTGCAGTGAGCCGAGATCCCGCCACTGGGGCGACAGAGCGAGACTCCTCTCAAAAAAAAAAAAAAAAAAAAAAAAGGTCCAATGAGAGAAACGAGAGGTTTCTCTCACCCAATCAGAACACGTGAAGTCCGAAGCCCACGCATAACTCCTGGGCACATGCCTGTGGGCCTCCCGCCAGTTTGCGCCTCCTTCTGATCTCCCGCCTCCAGCCCTGTGTTCCCCGGCTTAGGAGGACTCAGGAGGAGGGGGAGCTGAGGCTGGAGTCTGCACACCGCTCGCCGTCTTGCTCGGGATGGTGGTGGCAACAGAGATGGTAATCGTGGCTGGAGCGTTAGGAGGGCGGCCAGAGTGTTAGTGCGCCTGAGCGGCAGGAGGGGGCCAGAGCAGTAAGATGGCGGCCGGAGCAGCAGGAGGGCCCGAGCGTTTGATGGCGGCCTGAGGTAGGAGTGGGGCCGGAGGGTTTGCCGGAGCAGGAGGCCCGGGCGTTTGATGGCGCCTTTGAGGCAGGAGGGGCGAGAGGGGTTTGACATGGCGGCTGGAGCAGCAGGAGGGGGCGAGAGAGGGGTTTGATGGGCGTCTGAGGGGTAGGAGGGGGCAGAGCTGTTTGATGGCGATTTCGGGAGGGGTCGGAGGGGGCGCAGGGGTTTGATGGCTGCCTGGAGGGGCAGGGGAGGGCCGGAGCGTTTGATGGCGGCCTGAGGGGTAGGAGAGGGGCCCGGGAGCAGTTTGGATGGCGGCTCCAAGGGGTCGAGCGGTTTGATGGGCGGCCGACAGGTAAGAGCGCCGCGTGAGCTTCCGGAGGGGGTCCAGAGCCATAGTGAGGGGCCGGAGCAGTAGGAGGGTGGCTGGCAGCGGGACAAGCGTTGGATCAGCTAGAGGTTTAGGAGAAGGGGCCCGTGGCTCGGCGCTGGCGGCTGCTGAAGCCTGGCCACTGCGGCTCGCTCTGGCTGCGGTTGGTGGTGGCGAATGGAGACAGCAAACCCTGTTAGAGTGGTGCAGGGAAGGCGAGGGTGGGTGCGCTCTTTGCGGCTGCACTGCCCACTTGCAGGGTGGTGGGGAGCAGGTTTGGTGTGCTTTTGGGGCTGCACTGCCTGCTGTGGGGGGCTGGTGGGTGGCGCTATCAGGCGTTGCATCAGGCTGGCGGTGGGGCAGGTTGGCTGTGCTTAGGGTCTACATTGCCTGAGGTGGGGGGGTTGGAGGCAGGTTGTGTCCACTGCCAGCGGCTCGGGGCACGGCTTAGGGGCATTATTAGCTGCTGCACTGGCTGATGCAGGGGGCGGGTTGGGTGAGCTATCCTGGGCTACAATGCCAGCAGCCATGCCGACTGGCAGGCAGTTGGGGGTGCTTTAGGGGAACTGTCAAATGCTGCACTGCTCCTGGGGGAAAGGGGAAAGTGGGGTGAGGGGTTGGTTGCGTGCACTAACTCGGCGTTGACTGCCCGAGACAGGAGCAGGTTGGGGTGCTATCTGGGACTTTGTTGCTTGTGGTCGGGGTGTGGGGCGGGTTTGGTGGGGCTCTATTTGGTGCAGCAACGCGGGTGGCAGGGATGGGTTGTGGACACTATCAAGTGTTACACTGCCGGGTTCAGAGGAGTGGTTTGGGGGCGCGCTCAGGGTTACGCTGCCTGCAGCAGTCTCTGGGTGTGTTGTGGGCACAATCTGGGGGCTACGCTTGTTGGGCGGGGCAGGTTGGGGTCCTATCAGGGGGGCTGCTCTGCTGCTGCCAGCCTCCACCTCTGTGGAGGTGGCCGCGACAGTGGTGGCCTCTGAGGAAGGGCCCGGGCCGTTCTCCTCTTCCCGGACTCAAGGCTCTAGAGGGTGAACTTCTGCTCGTGTTGGAGCGCAGAGGGCACACAGAGTTTTTGCGGCAATCCCCTGAGCACCGCAGGGCCCACGCACCCACCGTGATTCCCCGACCCTTGCCCTCTTGCTCCGTGTTGTGGAGACCATCTGGGAGCCCCAGTCGTGGAGTAGTAGGCACCAGGGGGTCTCAGGGCCCTGTGGATGGAGGAGTCAGGAATGGGAACTGGTACTTTGGTGGGGAGGACTGGCTGGGTCTGAGTTTCCGCTATTTTTGCTCCCCAAGGAGCCCCGGGCACTGTGGTGTCTCCAGTCCCCACCCCAGGTCAGGCGGCCAGCTTGGTCCAGGAGGAGAGGCTGGACTTTGGAGGGTGGGTGTGAGTGCCTTCGCTGAAACTGGCCCCTGCCACCGAGTGGCCAGCGTGACAACGTGAGGCTCTGACACTGCCACTTTCTGCATCCTGTTGTAGGTTTTTCTGGCTTTGCCTGCCCAGCTGCTCCAAGCCAGGCTGGTGAAGGAGGAGTCTCCTGTGGTGAGCTGGAGGTTGGAGCCTGAAGATGGCACAGCTCTGCAATTCATCTGTGGTTGTGGCGGTGACGGTGATGGAGACTGCAGCTCAACAGGAGCAGTGGGAGGATACCCATGGAGGCCAGGTGGTAGGAACCTTGGAGGGTGGACGGGTGCATAGAGGGTGACAGCAGAGCTGATTCCGTTGGCATCAGCGCTAATGGTGGCAACAGCAGCAAGTCTAGGGGCCAGGAAGGGGGAGTAGGAGAACTTTGGGGCCCAGCCCGGCCTGGGGTGGGTAAGAAGCTGCCGGTTCTGTACCACAGGCCTCAATGACAGTGGTGGAGGTGCAGCCAGGGCAAGGAGGAGTCGTTCCCCTTCTCCTGCAGTCTGTGGAGGGTGCCCTCCTGCTGGTGTCTGAGCCAGGTGTGAGTGCTAGCATTGTCTCATTCTTAACAGAATTTAGGGGGCGACTATTTGTGTATTTTTTTGTTTTTTGTTGTGATAACCCTTAAGGGACAAAAGGCTGCTTTGGCTGGGTTTCGGTGTGGTGGGATCCCCCATGTCAGACAAAGGGTGCTTTCCTGGCAAGGTGTGTGTTGGAGGGAGTTCTCCAAAGGGAAGAAAGGGAACCTTCCAGGAGGGTGGCTGCTGTGGCACATTCCCTGCTTCTGGGCACCCTTTGGGTCACCTGGTTTTCCCTGTGGAAGAGGCGAGGCTTAGACCGGTATCACTTGTACGGTCAAAGAGGCATCGTGGCTGGGCCAGTTGATTTGACCTTGCTGCTGCTTCAGCCCACCTGCCCATGGTGTCACCTTGGGAAAGTGGAACCTCAGGCCACAGGGGCAGAGGCTTCTCTGGCAGGCTGATTGCTGTAGTGGATTCTGTTCTGCCTGCTGCTCAGAAGGGCTTCTATGGCCAGGAACTGATGCTGGGACTCTCCTGTTGGTGTCCTGCTACCTCCGTGTTGTCTCTGGGTTCTCAGGGACTCTCAGATCTGTGAGGATAAAAAGATTTCCTGGCTAGTTTGCGTGGTGTGGTTGGGATCCCTTTTGCTACATGCCCCTCAAACACCCTAGTGCCTCTGGGGGAAAAGGGAATTTTAGATTTAATGGAGAATGTGTCTATGTTGGCTGCTTATTGTTAGCAAACTTCTGAACAATTCTAAGGTCATGGCAGAATGGTCGCCTCTTGTTGGGTAGACTCCAGCTCCATTGGAGAAGAGACGAGCTTACCTGGGCTGTGTTTTCTTGCTAGCCTGAGGGTTGGAAACACTAGGTTTTTGTCTCCTTTTCCAGTTGAGTTAGGGAAGTGCCATGCATTATCACGAAACAATTCCTTCAGTTCTGAAGTCCTTAGACTGTCATCTTACTAGCACTGTCCAGCATTCTCCTTTCAGTGAGATAATAAGGGAGGGTTCCTACTCTAAAGGGAAACGGAATGGTATTTTTATATTGTATGACAAGAAATACAAAATAATTCTGAAAAATTTAGTCATTCTTCTTTTAAATTTAGAAACCCCTTTATATTTATAATATTTAAAACTATTAAAAATTAAGATGTCATAATTAAGATAATCTTTTAATGTTTTATATGAATTAGCATTTAGCATACGACCATAACAAATTATTTGAATTATGTTACCAATTCAGATTTCTTTCTGATTATTACAAATCTGTTTGTAAAATTTTATTTTGTCATTTATTAAATTTTCGTATAATTAGTTGCTACATTGCAGGTGTAGGAACTTCTAATATTAAGCGTGATTACAAATACTTCAGTTTTCATGTCTTTTTATTAATAGTCTAAACTTATGAAATGCTTTGTGCATTAGTATTGGTAACTATTTTTAGTATGAATTATCATTTGAAAAATGTTAAGAACATAGCTTTCCCATATTATTTATCTTTTCGAGGTAGAGTCTCACTCTGTCGCCCAGGCTGGAGTGCAGTGGCATGACCTCGGCTCACCACAACCTCTGCCTCCTGGGTTCAAGTGATTTCTCCTGCCTCAGCCTCCTGAGTAGCTGGGATTACAGGCATGGGGCACCACGACTGTCTAATTTTTATGTTTTTGGTAGAGAAGAGGTTTTACCACATTGGTCATGCTGGTCTCGAACTCCTGACCTCAGGTGATCCACCTGCCTTGACCTCCCAAAGTGCTGGGATTGCAGGCATGAGCCACCATGCCCAGCCTATTTTACATACAGGGTCTTCCTCTGTTGACCAGGTTGAAGTGCAGTGGTGTAGTCATAGCTCACTGCAGGCTCAAACGATCCTCTTGCCATGGCCTCCCAAAGTGCTGGGATTACAGGCATGGGCCACTGCGCCTGGCCTGAATTGTAATAATTTTACAGTTTGCCTCAAACAAGGGCTGACATCTGGGCAAGGTCTGCTGGGGGCCTCCCACATGCAGGCAGTCTGTGCTGTGCCCTCCACCAGCGCTGAGGGCCACTTGCCCACAGGCACCCCTCTCCTTTCCCCTCTGGGGAAGGCCAGAAGTGACTTTTGAGGTGACCTGAGGGACTTTGTCTGGAAAAGGGTGTGAAGCTGAAGCTGATGGCCTCAGTGCCCAAAGGGGAACACTTCACACTGGCGTTTGGAAGCCACAGGCCTGACAGTGGGTCCTGGTCTTGGGGGTCTCAGTCACCTGGCCACCCATTCCCCCCTCACCTAGCAGGCTGCCCACACCCCCTTCTATGTGTCTGTGCTCAGCCAATCAGGCAAGCCAAGGTTATAGCCCTCCCTGCCCTGGGCCCTGGCTCCATGAAGTACCATGGGCCTTGGAAGACCTCCCCAATTCATCCTGTCTCCCCAGTATCTTCCGCCAAGGCAGAAGTTTCCCTGGGCCCCTGCTCTGGCCGCTTCCTTGGCACAGTTTATAGCTGTGCCTGACACAGCCCACCTACCTGGCTTCTGTCCGAAACCTGCAGCCAGGCCATGTGACAGCCGCTGCCTGTGCCCAAACATCCAGCCCCACCCAGGAGAGCCAGACACTCACACAATCTCACCCACACATCCTCACCTGCCTGGCCCTGCCGCGCCCCCACCCCACCCTCCCTCTAAACCTACTGGGGCAGCAGCTTCCCCTACATTCCTCTTGCTCCACCTCCTTGAGCTGGTTCACACACAGATTCCCATGCCCTTGGCAGGTTGGTCATGGCCCTGGCAGTTCTGAGGACAGGATGGGTACAGGACTGTGTGCACCATAGAAAGGTCAGGGAGTGCAGCCTCCTACTCTATGCCAGCTGCCAGCCCCTGGAGCTTTCCAGGCTGATGGGGACAAAGAATGCACCAGAGGGGATGGTGACCATTGTCCCCGGGTTAGTCCACCATGGGACTGATGGGAGGTTCACAGATGTACTGAGTGCCCTGTTGCATTGGTCCTCAGGGGCAGGTGCTGAGATGGAGTTAGGAGAGCAAAGGAAGGGAGCTGGGCATGGTGCCTCATGCCTGTAAATCCTAGCACTTGGGGAGGCCCAGGTGGGAGGATTTCTTGAGGCCAAGAGTTTGAGACCAACCTGGGCAACACAGCAAGACCCTGTCTCTACAAAAAAAATTAAAAATTAGCCAGGCGTGGTGGCTGTATTCCCAGCTACTCGGGAGGCTGAGGTAGGAGGAACAGTTGAGCCTAGGAGTTGTCAATAGAAATCAAGTGTCGGGATATTGAGAATAGCATTATAATGAGGGTCCAGAGTATGTTATTAATACTAATGGTATAATTTTGAGCTTCTGATATATACACAAGCATATGTGTAGCTACACCAAGGATTGTGCTCAAGATTTGACTTACATTAGCTTGTTTAAGCCTCTTCCACACACTGTTTGAGGCAGGTACTATTATTACTGTTTTATGGATGACAAAACTGAGAAGCAGAAAATTTAGGAAACTTGCCCAAGATCACACAGCAAAGAAGCAGACACCAGAACCAGAGCCCTCGGCTCACAAACTTCACTGCCTTCGCTCCTAGGCTCTCTGTTACTCTGACCATCTCTCAGCCAGGAAGTCACTCCCTATGGTTAAATATTTCTATTCTCAAAACATGTGAGAGAGGGAGCCTTGAGATGTGTTACCTAAGCCCTAAGGGTTTCTCCTACCATTTCAGAGAGAGAGAAGCTTTTCTTTGCCCCTGAACTGTGACAAAGAAAACAGGAGGAAACAGCCATCAGAAGAGTAAAAATCTCTTATCTTCGCAAATAAGAATTCACTCTGACTGAGCTCTTTTGCATGCAGCACTGGGAAAAGACCTTGTTTTTTATTCTATCAAGTTCCCCATTTAACAATTTATTGAGAACCTGTTGTGTACCCGATGCACTGCTGGCATTGGGCATGTAAAAATCAGTGTAGCGTGGTCCTTTCTCCAAGCAACTCAATCTACTGCTTGGTTCTCTTTTCTGGATCATTTTAATTATGCCTCTCCTTTAAGTAAAGGACAGAGAAGTAGCACTGAGTCAGATTTTTGCCACTAGTCTTATACAGGTGACCTATTTTTCTTAATGCTCCCCACACATGGGATCTGAGCCAGCTGAGCCCAGAAACCTCCCAGGCTGAGAACGTAGTGTGGCACTTCAGCACATGAGACTGTGCAGGAGTCCATAAAACTGGCATGTTAGCCACAGAAATCCTGCCAAGCGTTCGGGAATAGAAGGGGTGGATAGATTTTCCTAATCTCATGGATATCAGGCACCAGGCAACCTTGCCCCTGGAATGGAGACATCTCAGGCAGGGGTTGTCACTGTTCCAAGCTCCCGTTTGATGCCATTTTGATCCTGGGTGTAGAGTTGCCACATGGAGAGAGAAACCACCAGAATATATAAGTGAGAAAGGAATGGAAAGATGGACAGATGCCTAGATAGATACACAGATACTTTGCTGAAGTCTGGGACAGTGGAACGTAGGAAGAGAACCTCAGATAGGGAGAGAACAGTAGATTGATTGTGGTAAAGGGAAGGCTTCACTGTGTTATTCAATATACTTGTTGAATTGTTTAAACAATATGTATATCTTTATAATTAAAAGAGAATTTGGGGCCGGGCATGGTGGCTCGCACCTGTAATCTCAGCACTTTGGGAGGCCGAGTTGGGTGGATCACGAGGTCAGAAGTTTGAGACCAGCCTGGCCAACATGGTGAAACACCATCTCTACT